GGCCGGACGCGGACGAGTGGTTAGATGCGTGAATTCGCATCGCCCTCGCGGAATTCGCGGGACAAATTGTAAGGTGACGTTCTGTTTCCTGTGCGTTAATTCGCACGGAACGAACTTAGCCCGGACTCGGCCGACGCACACGTCAAACGCCGAATGTATAGTATTGTAGCAATAAAGAGAAAAATATTAGAATTGATGAGTTTATTCTGTTCGAACCTGTCTCTCTGTAATTGATTAAATTGCGATTATCTATATTACCGGACGACATAGCCCTCGTTAAGTTTTCGCGACGAAGCGAATGCGCCTTCCGAGCCTTTCCCCTTAAATAATTTGTGATGCAACGTTGTTCGGGCTTAAATTATTAACGTACGTGTTACAATTTGATCGAATTTGGCGTGCTTTTTTCGGTCTTGGCTCATCTGGGCTCTTCCATTGGGACGATTGGACTTTGGTTTCGATATCATAATCATATACCCATGATTCGTCACCAGTTATGACCCTTTTGAGTAAATCTGGGTCGTCGGTGACGTCATTCAACAGTTCTTGAGCGATGCTCATGCGACGGTTCTTTTGGTCAAAATTTAGCAATTTCGGAACAAACTTCGCTGACACACGTCTCATGCCCAAAACGTTAGAAAAAAGTTCATGGCACGAGCCAAGCGATATACCAACATCCTCAGCAACTTCTCTGATAGTGATTCGACGATTTTTCAGAACAATCTTCTTCACTGCTTGAACGTTTTCATCAGTTGTTGACGTGCTTGGGCGTCCAGAGCGAGGTTCGTCATTGGCATCTTCCCGGCCATCTTGGAAGAGTTTGTACCACTTGTAAACATTTTTTTACTCAGAACAGTTTCACCGTATGCCACCGTCAACATTTCAAATGTTTCGGAGCACTTTATTTTATTTTTTACAGAAAATTTGATGCAAATCCTTTGATCCATATTTTTCGATACCTTTACGCCTCTCACAACCAAACAAAAAATGCTATACACTTGAAACTTGGTACAGATGTTCGGAAAGAGTGTACCAACATAACAAAGCAAAAAATCGACAATCGGAAGTACGTTGCCCGTGAAATTTGAAGTCACCTTACTTTTTGAACACACCTCGTACATTTCATGAACAAATTAAATGCACATATTTATATTCTTTATAAACATTATTCTAATTTCTACTATAATTATATACTTACTTACTCAAGGATATTATTTCATTATAATAATTAATAATTTCAAAATGATACGTAGTTTTTCTGTACTTAAAGTTGGCTGAATAGGCTCTTTGCAGTTCCAGGGAAGTAAAATTTGACTTTATGAATTTTTAGGAGTTGGAAAATGTTTCTAAACTACTTTTTGGTATTCTTGCATACAGAAAAAGAGTTCTGAAGTATTGTTTGGTGTTTTAGTACCTAGTGAAATATCTAATTTTGAGGTTATGTGCTAAAAACATGGGAAAAACCCGGAAAATAATGGTTTTTTCAGTTTTTGAGCATGTTCCGGTCAAAATATGATAATTTGAATAAATGCATTCGAAAGTACGGGAAAAAATACATAAAAAATGATTGTGTAGATGTTAGCCAAATATAACCTTCATAACCTAAAAAATCATTGAAATTTCAATAATTTTTTCTGACTTCGATTTTTATCCAAAAAATCTGAAAAAAATCGGGCTATTTTGTAGTAAAAAATTTAATATCCATAAATTTTTTAAAATGTTTGGAGCAAACAGTAAAGCAGGAGAAATTATTTTCACACAAACCCGTTTTTTACGATTGTGACACTATTGACACCTAGGGGTCTGAAAATTTAGGTGAGAGAGCCTCCAAATATGCTCTTTCGAATGACTCATCGCCGATAACGATTCATTCTTAGGCAATTTTAATATTGTTAACACGCTATAGCCTTTCAAATAGGCAGGTGCAACTTGCGAGCGCCCTGCGTCACTATTCTTCAGGGGCGGGCGTGTTACGTCGAGGACGAGTCAGACTATTTTATAGCGGTGAAATTTGAATTTTTTATGGAAGGGGTGTTCCCGTAATTGAAAGCAATAGTCATTTAATAGCTGACTTTAATCTCGGTGACGCACTTACCCCTTCTGGGATTAACCCTTTATTGATTAGTTTTTATGTATTTTGTGCTATAAAAGACAACGCAAAACAATTGAAACACACACTCTGTATTCTACTCTGTGACACTACGCACCTTCTGTAATTTGATCAATAAATATTTTAACTCTATTTCTATAATAATTTATTTGAGAGTTATACCTAATTCTTGTATCTACGTTACATCTCTGGCTTCTGAGGTACGAGTTTCTAGACCAGTTAAACTACAGGTAAAATTATTTAAAGTGTTACTTTTCCACTCGGTACTTTAGATACATTGCCGCCCTGCTTTTGTTTGAATTTTGCACCCGTGGTAAAGCGCTTACGCATTGACCGAAAAGAGACAGTCGCGTTTGAGTAATTCTTGTCAATTCACGGCCGTTACGTGAGACGTAACAAGAGCTTAATTATGATCTGAAGTTACAAAATCTTGACTCTTTTATAGGTATAGTTATTTTCAGTTCATTTAATAAAAGAAAGTCTCAAAGAGATTATTGGTCATCTGATACATTCTTATCTAGTGAAATTGTTTCTTCTGCAATAGCTCGTGATAATTTTGAAGAAATCAAATATAAGTGAAATATACAAAAGCTAAAGACAAGGATCCAAATGATAAAGGGTGGTGGAAAACAACCTCCTAAAGTTCAGAATATGGAAAACTTCTGTATCAATTGATGAAACGATGGCCAAGTCTTATTCAAAAACTGTATTGAAACAATTTATTCGAGGCCTGCAATGGCTCGGTCGGTAGGGCGACGGACTCGCACCCGGTAGGCCCGGGTTCGATTCCCAGTTCCTGCTGATACAAGCACCTCTGAAAAAAGTTTCATGTGCTTTGTTCTCAAACACATTGCAAGCCTCCGTCGCTAATTAGCACTGATGGAGCATAAATAGAGCGACGTTAAAATAAAAAAAAAAAAAAAAAAAAAAAAAGAAACAATTTATTCGAGGGAAATCAATAAGGTTTGGTTTGAAATTTTGGGGTTTATGCACTTTAAACGGCTATCTACTGAATTTAGATCTATATTGCGGTAAATGTTCCCAAACCGGAAACAAATTAGCAGTATGTTCTTTAGGTACTCGTGAAGTAAAGTATTTATTAGAACCTTTTTTCGGCTAATAAATTATAATAAATATAATGTAACCAAAAAAAAAAACTAGATATCGTAACGCGAAAATTACGCGTCTGAGGATACATATATATCTCTATTCTGCTTAATTCATTTATGTCATAAAAGAGACTAGAATAAATATTATAATTGTAAACATCTTTAAGTGTATCCATATGCTTCCCCGCTATATTAAAGAGAGTCGCTATTACAATTTTGCTTTTAATAAATAACCGAAGAACGTTATAAACGTTCAATTATTTATTTTACGAAAACGATATCGAGTGTCAAATTATAATAAACACGGATTTCATTATCGACGCGGGAACAGGCCGGGGTGCCCGAAAGCCTGACTACCGCCCGAGTCTAAGGCCGCTCGGCTGTTAAAAGAGCCTTTGTACGGGACAAACTCGACTCGCGCGAGTTGTCACCTATCAGTAGATTATTACATTTATAATATTATTGTTATTATCATTACAAGAATTACATACACTAAATACCTATACCTACTAGACCCTATAGTTATCAGCGTATAAACTTGTTTTCTCTATCACTATTATACAAGTTTTATACGTATTATGACTCGACTTACTGTTTAAGGTGGAGTCTGAACCATCAGAATCATGGTAATAAATACGGAAACGGAGAAGTGCGACCACCAACACGAAGGTTTATACTGGCGGGTGCTCGTATTAAATAATTAAAAAGGAATAGATTCGGGAAGCGCAAATGCTCCGACGGCTGAATAATATATCAGGTGTATAGATTAATTTTCCGCGAAACTAATTTTAGGATGAGAATTGATGATAGGCGAAAACGGTAACAGTCAGTTAAATAATACTTACTTTTAATTACAAAACGAGAAAAAAAAAGAATAGTATAAAAATGAAGTACATAGATGTATAATCGATGATACAAAATCCAAAATGGGATTAAGTCTAATTCCAGCTCAAATATATTAATAGGATTTCCGGCAGGCTGCTCAGTAATCATTTTGCCACTTATCCTGACGAATACGTGACCGACCGTTACAACCAACGTGGGAGCCAGTAAAAACTTAAAAACTTCTCCGCCACACTTGCTTGAACGCAACGTCTGAATATACAAATAGAGAGAAAGAGAAAGAGGCACGGACCTTCGTCATCCGTCAACCATCTCCAGGTTACTGCTTTTTTTATTGCTCTTCCATTATTGCTGATGTTATACCTCTGCTATATCTCGCATCCGATTGGCTGGTCGTTTCTATTCTCTGCTCGGATAAATTATCCCACGCGTTATGCGTGTGGATCCTCACCGGGATCATCACATGTTTCGGTGCTGGGATTGAACACTGGCTGGACATAATCCAGTCACGAACAACAATAATATCTTACCCATATATTCCTTGCTTTGAACATGTATTCCATCAACACCACGCCCAAAAACAACTTCAAAACCTGTTGGGAAATCGGCGACGTGCCCAATCCATCCCGGTACATACATATACATTGTCAGCCTGAAGTGATAAACGAATAATGGTGAAAGCAAGCGAATGAATCGGTAAAGTCGTAATTTTCCTTTACAAAACATACAAATTTCACTTTTTTGAAAATTTTCATACGTTCAAACTTTTTGTGTGTCCGGAGCTCGAACTTTTTGTACAAAAGTCTCTTACCTCACTAAGCTACCGCAATTTCTGTATGTGTCTAATTTTGTAATTTCTATTATTATCAAATTAATTTATCAATATATTTTTGAAAACTATCTTTGAATTTTACAGAAAAATTTATGAATGATTCTTTTAGAAAACGAGATATGGAAAAAAAACGGGATTCATGACATTTGACGAAAATAAGCAACGACAGTTTAAACTAAAAGTAATGAACATACAAGCTGGTAGTCAATCAATATTAGGAGAGTGGAATGGTTCAGATTTAGTCATATACAATAACGAAAAACAATTGAACAACACTCTGACTGAAGCTGCTCAAAATAAACTATTCAAGGTTACTACACGAAAAGTAAGTACAGTAAAACGATTATTCGAAATGCTCCATGTTGCACATTTAGTCAGGCATCTTGGTCCTATTCGTTTGTCTTCATCCGTTGAGGAAAGAGTAAAAAAAAACTGATCTAAAACTACCTAAAACTATTCGATGCCGTTATAGTTTTAGAGTATTTCGCTGTAAACGATTTTGAATTTAAAAAAATAGCTACTTTTAAACTTTTGATTGATTTTTTTTCTTGCCTAGTTGATATTTGCATATCCATGAACTCTGGCTCTCCACTCTTTTTATTGAGGTATAGGGAATAAATTTTTGTTCTTTTTAGGTAACACCAACTATTTTGATATCTGTTTAGTCACTTTTAGTAGATTTATTAGTGTATTATGTTAAAATAGAGGCGCTTGCTGCGATGTTTAGTCTGACTGCTAGGTTCAATAGGGCACTGAATAACTGTTAGTGTTTTTCATGGTGCGATATCTCTATAGGTTTATTTCTTACTTTCGTATAATTTTGGTCTAATGGTATTTCTGAGACTTTTAATTTTTGAATTTATTGCAGTATTTTTCCAATGTAATTTGTATACTTAATGTTATAAAAGTCATCACCACTTATATCAACTTCAATACCTAAATAAAATTTCAATGACCTTAGATCTTTAAATTGAAAAACTTCTGTAGCAAAGAACGCTTTGTTAGCAATTTTTCCTTTGCCCGTTGTCTCTTGGTGCCTGTGTATATGCCCTCGTCAGACCAGAAGCATATGTGTGTGCTTAAGTATGATGCTGATTGACGAGGCTGAGAGCAGGAAAAAGCGCAGCTTTTGGAGGGCCGTAAAAGTGAGAGAAAGAGAGAAATACGAGGCTTCATGGATGAAATAGTGAACATACCTAAGCGACGCGTTTTACAGCCGTGAAGAGACCAGAAAATAAGATGCCCGCTATGCCATGGATTACTATGCCATTTCAGAGATCCCGAGAGTTTTTTAGTAACAGCGACAGTGGGATTCGAAACAGCAGCGGTAGTATGAGCTATTTCTCTCTCTCTCACTTGCACTCTAACTTATCACCGGCCACATTTGCGACTTCTGCGGACATCGACGACCCAAGGTAACTTTTCGACCAACTATGAGCATTAGTGCCACGATTTTATCTACAGTCTCCGTGATCAGGCAGAGAAGTTCATTGATGGGCGGGTATCATTAGTGCCGACTCGTAACGGTTGAACATTTCTAGTGGCCCGCATGGGTTAGGTACCTCTTCGCGGATATCACCTTGATCGATTACGTTATGAGCAATGTATTACCAAGTCACAATTTTGTTCCTTTTTTGTGTTTTCTTTTCTTTTTATTTTGTTGTAAATGGGCCGGCAATCAAATTTTTTTTTATCGGATTGCCGATGTTATTTTCATGTTGCATTCTCTAATGCCAAGTTCTCACATGCGCGAATGCCGCAATCTGCACGCCCATTAGGTTACAGTAATCAGAACATTCGTATCTCCCTTTTCCCGCTCAAATAATTCGTGAAAAGAATCATGCGCAACGACTTTGTAAATTGAAGTGTAAAAACTGCATCTTCCTTTATAAATTTTTGCAAAGCACTTGTTATTTAATCGATAACTGTTTCATTTTTGGGCACGATTAAAATCCATCTAGATAAGTGAATTTTAAAAATTAACTATTTCGGCCAAACAGAGGCGTTTTCTGAGGAAAGACAATGCTCTCCCCTCGATTACCGTTCTTTTTTCTACTCGGTCACGGCAACGAAAGCAGTTTGCGCTCGAAACGATTGTGGCAGCGGTGGCAGATCAAAGCAACCAAAAAATAGCAGTTGTACCATTTGTCTTTATCTTACATTCATAATATTTTGTTCCCCAATTCATATTTCCAATAATCATAAGACACATCCAAAACAGAATCATGTTATAATTTATGCATGACGGCGCATCCGTACATACTGCAGCGATGAATACAAAACACCTTAACGCGGTATCTTTCAATTTGTTTTTTTTAATCTTTAATTATTAGACAAGCTTATTTATTAATAAATAGCCTGGTGCACGCGTTCGTACGCTAGAATGAGCAAAACTAATTTTGTTTAGATCTCCTTCACTCGCTCTGTCACTCTTATTTCATTTGCCACTGCTGTTTTCGTAAGCATAACAATATGTAATATTCAATTCAAGATATACGAGAATAACGAGGAATTAATCGTTAGTATTACGAGTTAAAATTTTTCACTTTATCATACAAGAATTTTTTTCGAATAATTTCTGGATAGATGAAATTGTATTAGAAAACATTTAGTTTCAAATGGACGAGCCGTAGTATGACCGGAAAAAATTACTGTAGTATTTAATATCTTGTAAACACTGCTCTAATAAATTACATCGATATAGCAAATTTTTCCTAGAAGTACTCTGTAAAAACTTTCATTTTTTTATAAATTAGGAGGACTTTCTCATGTTTTAAAACCAGTTTTCCTGAAATAAAATTTTTTTTCCTAAATATTTGAAAAAATTCTTTTAAACATGAAAAAACAATTTTTCTGAAAATCTACCTTCTTTCACACTGATCTTCTAAAACTTGTGGTAAATTAGCTTTTCTAAATAAAATAAGATGTTATGCAAATAATGACTTTATGGAGCAGAGATTTAAAGTTTTTAGAAATGCAACAAAGAAAATGAAAGATTCTACTGAGTATTTTAATATGGAAAAATTTTCCTATAGATATCTTTATTAGGACGTTTTTTACAAGATAGTAAATAAGATTGTTGATTTCCTCTAATTTTCGCTAAATAAGATTGTTAAAGAAATTGTACGCATTCTTGGAGTGATATAAAAACTTTTTATTCTAACCAGGAAGGTACACCAAGTGTAACTAACTGATTTTGATGAAACTTTGATATGTGGTAGAAGACTGAAAAATAGTCAACACGTATTTTTTTATGTGCTAATACGTGGCTTAAAATTCACCCTTGAAAATCGTTTTTTTTATATATCTCTTCTTCTAAATAAGGTATTTTCTTGGAACCAACTGGATATTCAAACAGTGTCACGTATAGTACCAAAGTTCTAGAGGGTTGCAACCCTTACTTTTTATAAGGGTAGAAGTGATTTTTTTCCTACTTTTTTGTCGGCCAAAATTGTGAATTTAATTCAATCGTCTTCTAACTTGTTTTGTTTAGAAGGACATCAAGAATCAAAGTTGAAGTATTTTTTAGTTTTTTCTAATTTAAGGTTAAACTACCCTTAAATGAATTTTTTTATTTTCATTGAAACTAAGTACTTTGAGTTAACTGCATAAATGAAATTGATGTAACTAACATTGAATTTGTTCAATATACTATGAACGACTAACCAAAAGCCAGAAGTATTCATTCGTGAGGCGAATAAACCATTTAAGAGGTGGAAAGTACTCATCACGTTCACTCCCAAGAACTATTCTTTCAGTATATCTCCTTTTCTATAAAACATTTTTTCTTGAAACCAACTGAAAATTATTTCTTACCATGTCACAATGTTATCAGTTATACCACGGATCCAGGGGGTTGAATATCTTATTTTTTACAAGAGTGAAAGTATTTTTTTTAATTTTATTCTTGCAAACTAAATGAAACTTCTTTTATTTGGAAGGACATTGAAAACTACAGGTAATGTATTTCGAATTTTCTTTTTAAATTACATATTAGAGGGTAAAGAGTTAAATATTTATTTGAAATTTATTTATGGTCCATCCTCTCCAGAATATTCATTTTTATTACAATAGATAGCTACTATAAGCAAGCAGAATTAAATTTTAATAATACACTATGTTTTGTTTTGAAGTTTCCTCAAAAATGCCGCAGTTGGCATTGTAGAAATATTTTATCAGAAGTTTATATATAGTTTGAGTTAAAATAGAATCGCTTGTGAATTGACTTTTACGTTTTTCTTTTTTTATTTAAGAGTTTGACACTGGTAAAATAAAAAACACTATGTTATGGGAAAAAAGCCTTTCGGCATAAAACAACCCAATTTATTGAAACTTGACAAATTGAATAAAAATGAAAAGATTTAATACAATAAATTTCGACGCAACACAAAGTGAGACACGCACAAGTTGTCGAAAATAATTTTCGCATAAGAAATGATCACGTGATCACGCGAAATTTACGCGCGCACGTACGCGGAAGAATTCCCATACACACACATACTTGATTGATGATATCGGAGAGTTTCGGATAGTAGGTAGTAAAAGATGGGCGAAATGATATTAGCTTGATATCGATGATATCATACAAATAGGTAGTAATAGATAAGTAAGATGAAATTAGCTTGATATCGCTGATATCATACAAATGGATAATAGTAAGTAAGTAAGATCGTAGATTACTATATGTAATCACCGCTTGGCAAGGATCACTAATTCGTTGTTGTCATAGGTTGAATACGGTAAAATATTTGCGCAATACGTTGTTTTGCGTCTTTGGTATTGTTTTTTTGTTGTCAATTTTAGTTGTAACGATCACTGATGTTATCAAATTATATTGATTTTCGCGGATAATCGCATGTGAAATTCGCGATAGCTCTGCGCACACAATGGCCGCTTGAGCTGTACTGGCAACGGACAGAATGTCAAGCCAGCGCAAACCTGCAGAGAAACCGGGGCAGCTCGCTCCGTTGGTAGCGCTATCTCCCACGGTTCTCTCCCAAGTTCGGCCATCGCGCGCACACATACATACACACATGTGACGACGGAACACACTAGATGATATTCCATATTACTTCTTATTGTTGGGAAACTTATCTATTAACATTATTAATTTTTTGAAATAAAAAATATTCTTTCAAAATGCATTGAGAATATCAATATAAATTTATGGATTATAAGCAGAAAAATAATGATATTCTTTAAAAAAATGCTTGAAACATAAAGATTTCTTATACCAACTGCAACGAATAATAGCCACGTTTTTACAACCGTCTATTTCACGATGCATTCCACATGAATCTCCGAAACTAAAATCTACGGGATTTT